CCTGGAGTGGATTCACAGCACCCTCGGAATTGGTGGCCATTCTTGCTGGTAATGCTAGGGAATCTAAAAACCAGAACTTGGAAACGCTGCACTTTTTGGATAGGCTGGGAGACTTTTTTAAAAAATGTAATTTTATCAAGTTCTGTGCAGAACACACTGTCATTTTACACAGTAGTCCATGCATTACTGTGTAAGGAAGCATAGGGTCTGGTTTCCCCAGTCCAGAAATGAACCCTCCTCTGCCCACCGTGGCTAAGAAATGTGTCACAGCCCCAAAGCTAAATCCTCACCTGGCACAGGTACATCCAAAGCGATTGGACGTCAAGTTAGGACTTGTGATACACCCACCATGAGCAGGCCTGAGAGAGAAGCCTTTCACGTCACCAGCTTTCTGATTATGGTGCTTGCGGCGCATGGGAAGCAAAACGGGAGGAAAGGTCTCCCTCGAACAAGCGAAGGCCACCCTGCACGAAGTCCTTGCTTGCTGTCTCTCTGTGGAGGTGACCTCAGGGCCCCCGAGGGCTCAGCCGGTGAAACACAACCTTAGGAAGGTAGAAGGGCAGCCTTGGTGGATGGGTTGGGTCTCCCCAGGCAAGCTGGGTTGGTTTCTCCAGAGAAAGGGGCAAGAAACTGGCCACTGTGAACACAATGGCAGTGCAACCCCTATCAGCAAGGGGGTTCCCCCAGACGGGAGAAATCGCACCTCTTGGAGGCAGTCTGGGAAGTCAGACCAGGACGCCAGAGCTTCCAGAGTTTGGCTGCAGCGTTGGCCTTAAGACGTCTTCGAACCCATCCCTCTGCTTTTTCCTGCCTGTCTTTTTCTCACCAGCGTATCCCTGCAAGTCATAAATCTATAAACAGTAGTGCATTTTCTGGACACAAATATTCCAGCGGGGACACAAGTCCTTAAATTCGTAGGACTCCGAGTGCATCTCTCGTTAAAAACAGCCAAACCTGTAAGGAATCTTGAGCCAAAGAGAGATGATGCCTCATGCCTGCCTGCCTTCCCTCCCTCCTTCCTAGCACAGAAGGAAAGCAAGGACCCTGTGCCTCTTTAGTGGCTGTGCAAAATAGGGTGTTGCAGCACCTTCTGTGTCCCATGTAGGATGAGAAACATGTTTTTTCCAAAAAAAGAAGCAAAAATCAATATTTTCCAAAGCTGAACCTTTCTTCTCTGCATGGCCCAAAGATGGAAAGGTGATGCCATCGAGCTATTGCCCCTTCTCACGTTCTGCTTTTCAGAGAAAGCAGAACTTAGTTATCAATGGGGAAGGGCCTTAAATTTGTTAAGTCAATGGGGGTGGGAGGGCTGGATCTCTGGAGGCCCGATGAGCCTCCATGGCCAGACCTAGCCTACCCAGATTCCAGCCTCGGTGGCTTTGTTCGTGTGAAGGACCATCAAGTTTTGTTCCAAGTTAGGGCAAGAGATGAATTTGGGGGTGGGGGGGGAGAGAGCCCCTCCAAAGGGTCCCTGTCACTAGAAACCTGGCTCAGCTCTTGCAAAGGGAACCTCGGGGCTTCTTTTACTGCCTCAATCCCTCTCAGGTCAGGTCTTCCTCTTTTCCTCCTTCTCCATTTTATTTTATTTTATTTTATTAGGATTTATAATCCTTCCTCCCACGTGGGACAGGTGCAGTATTTCGCCTTCCACCACTAGTCCGCACTTCCCCCCAAGTTTGAGCGGACGATCCGGCCGCCTCTGGCGGGGAGCTCTATGGTTTCTGCCCTCTGACTCCGATTGCTAGAGTGTCCCAGCAGGACTGGGAAGAAGGCTATAAAAGGAAGGAAGGAAGGAAGGAAGGAAGGAAGGAAGGAAGGAAGGAAGGAAGGCGGGCCAATGGGTGTTGCTGTGCCGGCAGCACCGTGTCGTACCCCCAGCCTGGCGCCTTGGTTCCGCTTGAGAAAGGGTCCCCCCTTTCAGAAGCCCGTCCTTTCTTCCTGGCCTTCCTTTCCCTTCCTGGTGAGCCTTTTCTTTGCCCTTCTTCCCCATGACCTGCCCGCCCGGCAGATGCAGAAGTTCCTGACGCCAGAATGGGTCCCGGGCACTTTCTGTTGCCATGGTCGGTGCTCTTCTTCCTCCTGCTGCTGCTGCCTTGGGATTTAGCAGCACTGCTGCAAACAGACGGAGGCTGGTAAGTTGGCATCCCCGGGGGAAGTCAAGGCAGCGCGGAGGGGAAGGCCGGTGGAGGGGGGGGAGACTAGACCGCCATCCCCACCTGCCCTGGCCATGGAAGGCCATCAAGGGTGGGGATGATGGGAGCGGCAGTCCCTGGACCCCCATCCTCGTTGTGCAAATGGGCCTTTTGCTGGACAAACCACCGGGGGGAGAAGAGCCGCCCTTGGAAGGAGGCCATAAAAGCTCCCCTTTTTCTTGGCCAGCCTGCCTGCCTTCCCCCGAAACAACAAAAAACGAGCAGGCCAATAACCTCGGGGGTCTCCCTGTTTAAAGCCCTGCCTCCCTTTTGCTTTTCCTTTCTCTGCTTTAGGCTGACAAGCAGCCAGGTGGCCCTGATGGAAGAAGACTTCTGCACGGTGGAGCGACGAGATGCCCGTCTCACCTACTCCCAGTTCATTCAGCAGTAAGTGGCGGCGAGAGGACCCAGCCTTCGGTACAGCCGGGAGCATGCTGGGCCAACATTCTTGCGGAAAGAATAACCTCCACGCTGACTCCATAACCTGCACCAGTTTGCCACCAAACGTTACACCATTTGAGTTAGGCTGGCAGTAGGATTTTGGCCTCTGGATGTGAAATTATTAATTCAGTCCTTCAGTTCCCTTTCCCTCCGCTTCCCTTCCCTTCTCTTTCCCAGTATCAAATTTCAGATTGTAAATTTTCTTGGGGCAGAGAGTTGTCCACTTGACCCATGCAAAACATGAGTTGGTGGTGGGTTATAAGGAGGCAGAGGATTTCTGTGACATGTCACGTTTTCTCTGCAACCTACATTTGAACCCATTGTCGTTTAGTCATGTCCGACTCTTCGTGACCCCATTGACCAAAGCACGCCAGGCCCTCCTCAAACATGTTTACGATTGATCTGGCCTTTCTCTCCAAAGGACTCATAAACATGTTCAACCCCACCCATAAGCAAAAACATGGGTAGCGGGGGAAAATGTGACATGTCATAGAAATCCTCCCCCCCCCACCACCACCACCACCAGAAGTAATAAATAAGTGTTCTCCCATGTTCATGGAATTATGATCATGAAAGTGTCGTATTCGCCCAGGGTTATTTATTTATCTCACATTTATGCAAAAGGGAGAGAGTCCCCAGTTTTGCTGTAGTCTTCTTGCTTTGCCTCTCCATCCAATCTGCCTTCTGGGGTTGTAGGTGGGATGAAGGTGGAGAAAAGCACAATGTCCACATAGGACATCAAAGGTCATGGATGGATTTCTGGAAAGCATCGGTTTGGGAGGAAGAAGGAGGAGGAGAAGAGGAAGGAGGTCTTCCCTAGATGTTCTTCCAGGGATGAGCAAGAGGGCAGAGCCATTTCTGGGAGAAAACCTCTCGTCCGTTCTTGGGGCCCAGAATGGATTTGCTTGTCCTTCTCCAGACCAAGAGAAGCTTTTGTGTCTTGAGAAGGTCATGAAAGTGACCCGACTGGGGGGGGCGACAATGGGTGTGGTTGCGTGCCGTGCCTAAGGGTGTCCCCAAAGACCAGCAACATCCCCCCAGCATGGAAAAAAATGTCCAGCCTATTCCATTTGGACCCTCAAGAATTAAATATCTCTGGCTGGATGCTGCTCTCTGTAGCCCCAGGAGGCTGATGGAGCCCCAGGGACAGACAGAGTTGCAGAATAGCTGGCGAGGCTGTCATCACTTTCTTTTTCTAGGTATGCCTTCTCTCGGCCAGTTATACTCCAGGGAATCACAGACAACTCGGTGAGTGGCTCTCTGCCATAGATGTGGGTCTAACGCTCCTCTTTTAAAGCCTCGGCTGAGAGTCTCGGGAAAGGTCATATGTTGCCCAATCTGTCCTCCCCCCACTTTAATTCCATACCCATAACAAAGCATGCCAGCAAAAAAACTCCACCGTACTGTAATCCCTGGCATTCAAAATGCTCCCACTTGTTAGACATACATTGCAAAATTATCTCTTTTTTTTCAATCTTTCCTTGGGTTGTCGAGTCTTTTATGTAAATTACTGCATTTTAATTGTGTACGTTGCCTGTGTTATATGTTTTATTATTGCTGTGCGACACTCTGACATTCTCCGGCTCAAGCAAATCTGGGCAATTTCTAAATATCCTTGAATGAATGAATAACTAAAAGCTGTCTTGGAACAACAGGGCCAGACGCTCAGTTGTTTCCTTCCTGGATTGGGAAACAAAAGGGCCGCCCAGTTCAGAACCTTGTTGCCCAGGAGTGGATCCGTTCCCAACCTCGAACGCAGCTCCCATCGTCCTTCAGCCAGCCAAGCGGATGGGTGTGTGTGTGGGGTGACCACATCTGGAAGCCCAAGATTAGGAGGACCTACAGTCGTGACCAGCTAAATGCTGAAAAAGAATATTATGTAGGGGAAAATTTGTCTCTTGCTATTTTCTGCAGCCCATGAATCACGAGAGCTCAGCGGTCTGTCCATGTTTTGCACATGGAATTCGGAGAGCGCATCTTATCTCGTATCCAAAGCGCGAGATTCCGGGCCATCTGGGTTTAGAATGTTTGTCTGCCTCTGGGACAGGGAATGCATAGCCCTCCGGACACTGTTGGACTTCGTTTCCCATTGCCGTGGGCCACGCCAGCAAGGGCTCATGGGAAATGTAGTCCCACAGCCTCTGGGTGGCCACATCTCCCCCTCCCGTGTTAGCATCCTCTTCTGCCTTTGCAGGAGTTCCAGGCCCAGTGTACCAAAGAGAAGCTCTTGGCCAGGTACGGGGACCGGCTGGTCCGTCTCAGCACCGCCAACACCTACTCGTATCGCAAAGGTAAGGAGGTGGGGTGGGTGGCCGAGATCCCCTACCAGATGGTCAACCTGGTGGCAGGAGTGGGGCTTGTCCTTCTCTGCCTTCCTCACCCCTTGTCGCTCCCTTGTTCCAGTCGACCTGGCTTTCCAAGATTACGTGGACCAGTTCCTGGAGCCACAAGACCAAACCTCTTTAGGAAGCGGTGAGTACCTGCTCCCCGGAACGGCATTTCCTTCCTTTCATCCCTGCTCGCTGGCTGGCTTAGCCGCTGCCCGGCTTGGAGGGAGCCTGAGAAGGGCCGTATCCGCCGCGCGGTCTTCCTTTCCTACCCCCTGCCCACCAGCCAGCCTTAGCCCTCTTCACCTCTGAGATAATAGCAGGGCTCCATCTTCGGGGCCCCTTGTGAGCCCAGCCCTTCCTGATATCTCCACGGGACTGTGAAGTGGAAAATCTCAAGGGTGGCCATCAGAAGCCTGGGTTGAATGATACAGGAAAAACTTCTTAACTGTTAGAGCAGTACAACAACATAACCCATGACCTCAGAGGGAGCTGGGGAGCGTTCCAACGCTGGAGGCCTTCAAGAGAAAATTGGACCACCTGTCCGATCTCCTTGGATTGGGATTCCTGCTTTGAGCAGGGGTTGGACGCGATGGCCTTATAGGTTCCTGTTATTCTAGGATTCTACTTTTCTAAGATCATTAAAAATTACAAATTTTATTTTATTTATTTATTTATTTAATTTATATCCCGCCTATCTGAATCACATAGGACCACTCTCCAGCACTCTCTCTTTGCACCCTCTCGGGGTGCGTGGGGCCTAACATTGCCAAGTTTTCAGGGACCTCAGCACGGCGGGACCGCCCGACCTCCGTGAATGTTCCAAAACTACTTTTAAAAATATATATATTTTGGCCACTGGAGGGCCTCAGGGAGCTTTTTGAATTAAAAACAATTGTAATGGAAAGATTCTGAACTTGAGGTTCCCGGGGGCCAATGTGGCTGTCCGAGGATCCGCACATGTGGCTCCTGGACCTCTGGTTTGTGTCAAATGAGCAGGATGACAGATTTAGCCCACTACGTTAAAAAAAATCCAGGGGGCCGAGATCCTCCTCTGGCTGCAGAATCTGCTTTTGGCAGCTGGGGTGCTTCCTGGAGCAGAGACCAAACTCTGTTTTATGTGGTGCCTGGAGGCTCCTGACCAATGGCCACCACACAGGAGCTAGTTGGGTTGCTGCCCGTCCCCGGGAGGCCGCAGGGCAGCCTCTCCTTTCCCAGAAAAGGGGTCCCATCCTGCTTCAGGGTATTACTCCGTGTCACAGAAGGCTTAGCTCTCTTTTCTTCTTACTCCACAGAAACCCTCTACTTCTTTGGGGACAATAACTTCACTGAGTGGGGCCCTCTCTTCCAGAAATACAGACCTCCACCGTTTCGGATCCCGGGTACTACTGGAGCATACAGTTTCGGGATCGCTGGTCAGTAACCCATCTATTGAGCAGATATTTTTTTATGGGTGAGAGGGAAGGAGCGATTGTCTTTGGATGCCTTCTCCAGCTCTTTTTCTCTCCTGCCAGAAGCTGGAAATACCACCGCTCTTCCGAACTCGCGACACACCAACGAAAGATGAGTCTGACCATGTGCCTGTTAACTGTGTGTGTGCCAGAACATGGAAATGCGACTCTTTTTAGATTGCAGGCTCCTGAATCTCAGAGCCCACCTGGCCACTGCTGGGATGTTTTTTTGCAAATGTGTCGAGGAAAGCTTCCCAAATGGATGTTTAAACTGAAAATTACTTTTTTTGAACATTTCTCTTTGGGCAGGTTTTTAAGCAGCAAATGGTTTCCAGAATGCTCGTTTTTAACTTACAGATATATGTGTTTTAAGCAGCAAATGGTTTCCAGAATGCTGGTTTTTAACTTACAGATTTGTGTGTGTTTGTGTGAGTGAGTGAGTGTGTGTGTGTGTGTGTGTGTGTGTGAGAGAGAGAAAGAGAGAGAGAGAGAGAGAGAGTGAGAGAGAGATCCCACCTATCTCATGGCTAGGCCACCACTCTTGACGGCTCAAATGCTTTAAAATGGTTTTTAATCTTGGTTTTATATCTAAATATATGTTGAGGGTTTTTTTTAGTATGATATTTATGCAGAATTTCAAGGCCCTTGCTTGTTTTCTAATTTTATCTGTCGTGAGCTGCCTTGGGTCCCTTTATGGGCAGAAAGGTGGCCTATAACTCATATAAATAAATAATACCTCAAATAAAGTACAGCTCCAAGCACAATTCCCGTTTTGTTTTGTTTTTTAAAAAGTAACTTTGCCCAAATCCACCCCAGCCCGATTTGTACAAAAATAAGTTCTACAGCAGGAAGAATTTTAATGCTTTAGCCTTTCTGACAGGGTGCAATTGAAACATTCCATGCACATCACAGAAATATATAATAATGTTCACGTGCCTAAATTATTCGGGATCTACATGGATGTTGCAGCTCCCTCTGAGGTCTGGAGATCTTCAGCTGTTCTTTGGTTGCCTGACGTTATAGTGAACAAGGCCTGTGTTCAAGCGTTAGTTTTTTTTTTTTCCTTACATCTTTGAGGGCTAGGAACTTGTTCATTTAAAAAGCAAAGCAGGGATGGCCCAGGTATCTGAATCCTGTCCCCAAGGGCTACCTCTGGCACCCCCTTCCTCAACATGCGCACGCAGGACATCGGGACCTTTGATCCTCAAAAGGTGGAATAAGAATTTTGGAAGAGAAGGGTACTTGTTTGGCCATCGACGATAGATTCCCTAGATGCCCCTCCTAGCTTTTCGGAAGGGACCGTGCACTACCTAAGGCCCTTTCTCTTCCTTCCTCTTTCTGTCTCTCTTTTGATTCCATGCAGGATCCGGCTCCGGGGTGCCCTTCCACTGGCACGGCCCTGGTTACTCCGAGGTGATCTTTGGCAGGAAGGTGAGCGTTCCAGAAGGAATGACAATTGCTCCACTGCTTTCATTTCTCTCTACAGCCCAATCCAGGGTGGGTTTGATTTAAGTCCAGATTTAAATTATAAACATCGATTGTTGGATTCAAATCACTTTGATTCTTAAGACGACGTTGGTTTTTATCCACCCAGGTCCAGTCACACTGTGGCCAAAATCCTCTTGTGAACGTAACTCAAATGGCGGAACTGTTGGTAGCACATTGCGAATCACAACGCCTAGGGTCTCTTCCAGCCTTGCAGTTCTAAGATGATGGTGATGATGATGATTAAAGTCAGCATAGATTTTTCTGTTGCACCCTGAGCTACATGGCTTCAGGGACAACGCTTAACTCCTTGCAAACAGTTTCACCATTTGAAGGGGTTGGAAACGAGTCTTGTGTGACCTTTAAAAATTCAGAGCCTGGGATTTTTCTGGATGATGGCTCACTTCTTCGGATGCACGGGAGGGCGGCATTCAAGTCACATGTTTATATGCAGGACAGAGCAAAATGTTTATATATTTTGTTTCTTCAAAATATTCTTACCCCGCCTTTCTCCTAAAAAAAGGATTGAAGGTGGCTTACGTTGTTAAAAAATAATAATAAAGACCTCGAAGTTTCTCATCTCTAGCTCCTCTTCCCTTCTCGGCCCACAGCGCTGGTTTCTGTATCCCCCGGAGAAGACGCCGGACTTCCATCCCAACAGAACCACTCTCTCCTGGTTGCTGGATACCTACCCTTTCCTGCCGCCCTGGGAGAGGCCCCTGGAATGCACCATTCGCCCGGGAGAGGTGAGCTGCCGTTCCGAGGCCAGTTCCGGGTAGCGCTGGGGTTCCCGTGTCCGTTTTGCCTCTCCGATGGAAAGCCAACACGGCAGTCCTGCCTTGACCGTCTGGGGTTGCCTCTCTTCCCTGGTTTCTGCCCCCAGTTTGGCTGATGCAACTTCTCGTTGGCCTGCCCTACTTTATGTGAGACTCACTAAGTCCTACGTAAGGGACAGAGGGACTCCTTTGTCTGCAACTGCTCCCTAGCCAGCGGCTCGGGCTGCAGAATTCAAACTCTTAAGAAAATACACTGTGGTCTTTCTCAGTTGGCTGTACTAAGGGAAAGAGGGACTCCTTTGTCTGCAACTGCTCCCTAGCCAGCGGCTCGGGCTGCAGAATTCAAACGCTTAAAAAATACACTGTGGTCTTTGTTTCTTAGTTGGCTCACTGGCTGTACATCCCTGCACTGCAGGGCAGAGTATATGCATTTTCTCCAGCTTATTTTTATACAGTGACGAGGACTAGGAACATGGTTTTTACAAACAAGAAGTGTGGCCGATGTCCGAGGTGCCAAATTCCAATCATGCTTAGGAAAACACCCAAAGCTAAGGAGATCACTGAGTTTGGATTCCCCAGGCAGGCAGAAGACAGACGTCCTCTGCACTAAAATTCCAATCATGCTTAGGAAAACACCCAGAGTTAAGGTCATTGAGATCGGATTCCCCGGGCAGGCGGAAAACAGACGTCCTCTGCACTCTGCCTGGCATCGTAGCCTGTCTCCCATTAGCGAAGAATTAAACTCTGCAAGATAAATGACAGGCTGTCGCAGTGGCAAAACTAGCAAGGGGTTTGGGATAATCCAGATTAAGTCAGTCTTGGGTAAATCATGGTGAAATAACCATTCCACCACCCTCTCTTTTTAAATTACTATTAATGCCATAGTTGTTATAATGCTAAAACAACCAGAAAGAGAAAATACAACTTAATAACAACATGCCGAGTTGCTGTAGTTCGTGTCTGCAAAAGAAGGTGCTTGTTGGGTAGGAATCCCTGTTCTGAAGCCTAACCCTTATTGATGGACAGACCCTCTAATAATCTGATCACCTGGGAGAGGGGCAGTAGCAGGAACAGGCAGAACAGGTGGGTGTGCCCAATCACGGACCGTGGATGGCGCAGCGCTGTGGAGGCGTTACACAGCCTTGCCCCTCAGGACCGGCCGGTTGCCTCCACCTGTCCTTTACTTGCATACTTGGTTCATCCCGGACACGACAAGGCTCTGGGAGGAAACCCAACAGGCTGATCCAGTCAAGGTTACTGATTCCTACGCAAGTGTGTTGGGCTGCAGCCAAAATTTGGTCACTCCGCCCAGGGAAAGAGTAGGTGACAAGGTAAGATTTGATCAGTGCACAAGTCAAACTGTAGGGTTTTTAACCTACCTTTTTGCTCTCTTTCTTGTTCCTTAGGTCCTTTATTTCCCGGATCGCTGGTGGCACGCAACCCTCAATTTGGACACCAGTGTTTTCATCTCCACATTCCTGGGCTAAACCGATCTGGGTGAGCTTTCCTCCCTGGGATACCTGCTGTTTTCCCCCCAGGGCTTGTGTCTGAAGAAACCGGATGTCTTTGCTACAGACAGGCATCCTCGACCGGCCAGGCTCCAAGGAGGACAGGGATAGAAAGCTCAGATGATCTCCTGCGGGACCAACTGGCCAGATTCTTTGGCGCTTGCTGGAATTTAAAAGGGACCTTGATTGATTCAGCCTAGAGGTACATCAGGAGCTTTTCTTAAGCAAGATTCAGGATCACTTAAGATAGATCGGTTCCTCCTTAAGGAACAGATCCGGAAGCTGCACTGTTTCCACATGCTGAACACCTTTCAACCTTGCCCAGCTTGTATCACAGAATCACATCCTCCAGATGTTTTGGATTTCCAGTCCCAGAGTCCTTCCATGCATGTATCAGAGGGCCATGTGGAACTGGACTGGCACCTCCTGTTTGAACTACCGTACATACAATAGAATCCTCACATTCACGGGTTTCATTTATCTGCAGTCTGAAAATATTGATAGGGAAAAAAGGAGAAATATGTATTTTCAGTGTATTTACCAGACCTGGCCATTAGAGGGAGCCAGAGACCATGCCAGGTATTCTTGTTGAACAATACATAGCATAGTCTCTTTCTCCCTCTAGTGGCCAGCTCTGGTAATACACAATGAAATATATATTTCTGTATTGTTTTTTTACCATGCTGTGTATAGCGTTCGCCATTATCTGAAGTTTTCAGCATCCATGGGGAGCTTGGAACCAATCTCCTGTGGGTACAGAGGTCCTACTGTACAGTCATTATGAGAGATGCCTATTGGCATCTGATGCAGTCAGTTACTGGTAGCTTATTCTTTTCATTGTGTCCCCCTCCAACAGCCTACTTCAAGCAGCAACTTGGCAGGGCTGGGCAAAACTTTGTACCTTTTTTTGGGGGGGGGGCTATGATTTCCAAAAATTCTTGACCTGAAACTTCCAGAATCTCCTGGTGAGTATCGCCAAAGGCTGCTTTAACTTGTCGATTCTGGGAGTTCTAGTCCAAAAAGGTCAACTTTGACCGCCTTAGTTAAGTCCAAAAATGGACCTCCGGCCTCCTTTCGCACTTTCTTTGCTTTGACCATTGCTGCAGCATTCCAGGGCCCAGCCAAAGTGACCACAGCACCACAACCCTCTTGTGATGGAGATTTGGGAAGTGACCTAAAAGTCTGCTTCAATGCAAGTTTCCCAGATTCTTTAGTGCCTAGATTTAGAAGATGTAATCTTTTAATTCCACTGCACTTTGCCCAGCTTTGGGACCAACCACAATGTGTGGCAACTGTACAAAAGGCGCTTCTTCTTCTTTTTCTTTTTTTAACAAAAGGGCCATTGTGATTTATAGAAGGAATTGTATTTAACCCTTTCCCCCATGACACCCCTAAAACATGTTTGAAGGCTTTCCCTGATTCTCCTCACTCTGCCCCGCCTGTTTTTTCAGATGCTTAGCAATGCCGAAGGTTTACATCCAGCATCTACTGTAGTTCAGTTGCCCAGGTGTTCTTTGAGTTCAACTCCCAGAAACCCCGGCCAGCACAGCGGGTGAGGTGAAGGCTTCTGGGAATTGCAGTCCGAGAACGCCTGGGTGACTCCAGTTTGGGAACTGCAGAACTCACAGAAAAGTATTCCAGGGTAGGTAACCAAAGGCACACAAACAGATCAACCATCCGTCCTCCCTCCCCCCCCCAAAAAATCATCCATAACATCACTTTTTCCTCCAAAGAGGTACTGTATTTCCACGGAGAAGTGAATAAACAGACATTATCGCCTGTCTTAGGCCAGTAAACACATCCTCGGTTTCAAAATTATATTCTTTCTTACTGGGAATGGAAATGTCTTTATTTCTTTGGAAAATATGTTGACGAGCTAATTGAAAATCAGTTTTTGGGTGGAATTAAGTGGCTTGTTTACATGCCCTCGCCTGTAATTAAGGCAGGATGTTGTGAATGTTTGCATCAAGGATGACCAACTTTTCTGACAGGACCTGTTCGAGTCAATTAATTAATTATCTTCTTGAGGAGCAGAAATGTAACTTGTGCTTTCCTATCGCATCCACCTCTGCTAGGGCCAAGCTTTACAGCTCTTATCAAGGCTACTGTTTGCTACGGGGCAGATCCTGCGGTCTGTGAAGAGCAGCTCTGGGGAGGGGGGAAACTGAAACACCCACCCACCCGCTATCTCCATGCTCCAGATTAAGACTGTTGTTCTCTCCTGCTTCAGTGAGTGTTCTGGAGAGAAGGGGTGGCAAGCCTAAGGGACCAATTTCTTAAAAGGACCTGGAAACCAGATCCTGACTCACCCAGCACAATGTTTCCTTCTTACAATTGCAAAGGTGCTGGTATTGTTTTAGTTACTCTTGTGTCTGATTTTTTTGATTAAACGTGTTTTTGCAAAGCCTGCACTGTGGTTAAGTGGGTCATGCAACCAAACCGTCCCCATGGGAGGTGGCAAATGTTTGTGTTGTCTGAGATCGAATGGATACTTGCACTTTCCCACACAAGTCTGAGCAGTGTGGGGTAATAACAGGGGTTGCAACAAAATGTTGCAGCGTGAAGTACTTCTTTCTAGGGGCCTATATACACGCTTCTAAGATTGCTGAAATGTTGCCAGGCTGGTCAGTCTTCACCTTCTCCCTTCAACTCCTTACACATCAGCCTCCCAACCCTGCAGCCATGAAACAGCCCTGCTGCTTAATTGTCTTGCTCAAACATTTATTTACCAGCATGCCCGAGTTGCAGAGAGTTTACAAATACTAGGTGGCTTGCATGCCATTTTTTCCCTTCTCTTCTAGAAAAGCTATATTCTGCAACACCAAAGAATGCTTCAGAAGATGCTGCTGTTATTCAAGGAGGCTGTTTTAATTAAAATTAAAAAAACACCCTTTCATCCAGTGGTTTAATGGGTAAAGTAAACCACCTAGGAGAAGGGAAACTCAGCTTTCCTTCTGGCACCTTCCCACACAAACAGGTGACCCACTTGCCTGAAACAAACTCAAATTCCAGTCAACGGCTACAGAAGAATAATATATCTCTATTAAGTGCTCACTCCACCCACCTCTGCCAAAGTGGCTCTGTATTTACCAAGAAAAACAGACACACAGACCAAAATAATCCTGGTCAGACGTAAAAGTGGAACGACCAAACGAAAACCTTACGGCTGGAGCGTGGGGGAGGAACAACCGCGGAAAGCCAAGCCCAGGAGCTGGGATGGTGGCGGGCAGGGAACCGGGCCTCTCTGAGGCCGGGGTCTCCGAAAAGGCTGGGTTCCAAAGCGGCAGCAGCGCTGTGCGACGGAGAAGGTGCGTGTTCGGGAGGCGCAAAGGTGCAGAAGGGCCAGTGTGGGTCCGGGTGCTGGCGCATCGACCCCTTGCCTGCTGCTCTGGCTTCCGAAGGGCGCTCCAGCCCAGCCAAGCCCTCAGAAACCACCGCTCAAGACCTCCTTCCTCGTCTCGCTTCTGCCCCAGGGTCAGCCTCCAACGCCACCGGAGACCAGGGCGGAGGCCTCGTCTCGGCCCCTCTCGGAAAGCTGCTCGAAAGCAGGCCGAGGAAAGGGACCGGGGAGATTTTCCTGGCTTGCCAGGCGGCCATCGGACGGATGGGCCTGAGGGAGCCCAGGCAGCCCGGGCACCAAAGGTCGGGAAAGGGGAGACAGACAGACAGAGAGTAAGGCATGAGGCTGGCCCCACAAGTACCGAGAGCTGTCCGTAGCAGTCCGCCATGAGCCTTCGCCGCGGCGGCCGGGAACGCTGCAAAGATCCAGTAGAGTCGACCCGGCCTTTCACCCACCGCACCCTCCAGTCATCAGTAATCTTCTACCCAGCCATTTTCGGATATGAACGCATCTATCACCTCTTTCATGGCGAGGTTTGGAATCAGCTGGTCCTGGGTCAAGGGGCTTCGGGTCACCGGGTCGAAATGGCCGACGCGCTAAGAAGAACACAGATGAGAAAGTACAGTGGACAAAGGGTCAGCCTTGAGCGTGGCATCAGGAGCTAGTAGTTTGCCCCCCCCCCCAGACTCTGGAAAGACTGAAACGCCTCTCCTAAGCCTCAGTTGTAGGCCATTGAGATCTTTTTACTACAACAATTTCCAAGTGCAGCATCTTAAGGGTTAATCTGGTGGATCTGGTTTCACCTTCAACGAGCCTTTTAGCCCAATTAGTGACCTGGCTCACATGACCGCTTCACTTGCGTACATCAAACAATGGGCTAGAAGTTTGGAAAGATGTGGATTTACGGAAATAGCTCAACAGCCAGAATTCTTGGCTGGAGAAGCATGTTTGTAGCAGTTGTGAAAAAACAGGGCAGCTTGTCCTGTGTTTGCAGATGTACAACCCTTGCATTCCTCCATCTTTTTAAATCCCTTCCTTTTCCTGAGATATATCTGTTGCCCACTAAGTTTCTTTATTTCACGCATCTAGAGTAACATACAATTATAATTTTGGTAGCAGAACGAGCAATTTCTGACTCTAAACCTCGAAAGCAAGTCCTCCTGAGTTTCATGGGACTCCATGTCAAAGTAAGTTTGGGGGTGTTCCTTCAGGCCAAAATCCACTTGGGCTTCGCCATGTGTGAAAGGGCAACTGCCTAGGGGGGCTCCACATTTTGGAGACTGTCTGACACGACCAGTTGTGCAACCAGGCCACAACTAGGCAGATGACAGACAGCCTGCAAAGCCGCACACGCCTCTTGTGTCATTGCTCTTCCACATTCTGTGACTCCCAACAGGATTTTGAGCAATGTGGCTCATATGCTTTCATTTTATGATTAGGGAAAGGTTAAGGGCTAGAAAGAATTACTCCTGCTTGCACAACATGTACCCTGATCCCCCCAAAATAAGACCTAACCTGAAAATAAGCCCTAGTAGGATTTTTCAGGATGCTCGTCATTTAAGCCCGACCCACCAAAATAAGCCCCAGTGAAGCGAAACCCTGCCCTCCAACCTTATGCTGCAACCAGAAGATGACACAACTGTATTTGCAGAAATATAGATGGTTGTCCATAATGGCTGTAAAGAGGGCAGGGATAAAGCCCCAAGACCAGGAAAGAGGTATCCAGCTTGTCCTACCAAATAGCCCAAAGGACCTCTCGGAAATCCATGTTTGAAAAGTGGAACACGGGAAGGCAAAACAGGTTTGGGGCAGCACGGAGGGAAGAACAAAGGAGCAGAAGAGAAACCCTTTTTTGCCAAAATACGATACAACCGGGGCTAACTTTGTGCCTGTGCAACGCAAGGCGTAGCCCTGTTTAAAAGCATCCACGTCTCCAGCTTCTCTGTGTGAACTGCATTTTTAAATGATGTGTCTAAATCATGTAGCTTTAGTAAATCCTGTCACTGACGCCCCCTTCCTTCTGTGTCCTCCCGACACTGGCTTCTTTTTTCAGCTACTTCCTTGGCATCTGAGATTTCTTCAGGTGGGTACTGGCCCCTTCCTTCTAATCTCCGGACACAGAAACGTGCTTTTTCCTCAAAGGAACTGCTCAGCTCTAGAAGGGCAGCCGTGTCTGTCCCAGATCAGGAAGCCAGGGCACCCATTTCAGTGGCCTCACACTTATCACAACAGCCCGAATTACTCTGGAGTAGTTACCTGGAGATGCTCTTCGATGTCCTTCCGGTCGTAGGTAATCCCACTGGGTGTGATGCAGGGCTCTCGCATCAGTTCAAAGCTGATCTTCCCACACAGGTAGTCAGGGATGTCCCGTTTCTGGTTCGAAGGGGAGAGAAATTTCAGAGATCCCAGATGATGCAAATGCAGTCCTTCAGATGTTCATAGAATCATGAGCTTGGAAGGGGCCTATGAGGCCATCAAGTCCAACCCCCTGCTCAATGCAGGAATACAAATCAAAGGATATCTCCTAGGTGGTTTTCTTAAGATTATCCCGAATGCCTCCAGTACTGGAGTGCTCACCAACTCCCGAGGTCATGGGTTTCGCTGTAGTACTGCTCTCACAGTTATTAAGTTTTTCCTAGCATTCAACCGAAATCTGGCTTCCTGCAACTAGAGCCCACTATTGCATGTCCTGCAATGCCCAGCGTCCCTCCTGCCCACCTCTGTGGGCCAGGACGGATGGGACTGGCAGCCCATCAGCATCTGGAGGGCCACGAAATCTGGCTTCCTGTAACTAGAGCCCACTATTGCATGTCCTGCGATGCCCAGCGTCCCTCCTGCCCACCTCTGTGGGCCAGGATTAATGGGACTGGAAGCCCATCAACATCTGGAGGGCCACATACCACCCAGTATCGCCAGTTTTTCTTCTAGGATCTGGCTCCCATCAACCAGCTTGGCCCACTGATGGCTGCAGTGACCAACCACATTTAAAGCTCTGGAAGACACCCGGTTGGGGCACCAGGCCAAGCTACTGACTTCAGGAATGGACAGACGGGGGTACCACGTCCTGCTCGCTACCAAAAGGCCTGGCCCCAGATCACAGGGCATCTCAGCTTAGAAACTGGGAACCCAAAGGGGGCCCTCAAATAAGGAATTTTGAATCTGAGCAAGTAAGAGGTCCATGGGAAAGCGAGGCCGTACAAATCAGTGCCCCCAAACAGCAGCCTGGCTCAAGCACGCCCTCACCTTCCGCTTCTCATCCACTTGCGAAAACAGCTCGTCCATGTCTGCCAGGTACTTTTCCTGAAAGGCAAACAAGATATTCAGCAGAGCCTTCTTTGATCCCCGGGTACCCTCCGGAGACGGGACACTTTGTTACCTAAACATTCCAGAAAAGTGCAAATATACACTTTTCCCTACTTGAATGACCCGTAGGCAGCCAACAGTCTCTCTCCACTATAGCCTCCTGCATTGCTGTTAAGATTGCTGTGCTGGGCCTCTGTTCCTTCCCCAGCCGACAGAAGCCAAGGAGGGCTACCATTATTGTATTTTATTTTATTTAAAATATTTCTATCCCGGCTTACTCCCCAAAAGAACTCAAGTCGGCTGACATCATTAAAACAGTATTTAAAAGCTAAAAGCAGTAAGTATACAAATACTGTATCTAAAAAAGAATTAAACAAGTACTATATTAAATTGGTAACGAAGGTCAAGATTAAACAGCATTTAAAACAGAGGACAACAATCCATTAAAAACCTTCTCAGATCACCCATTATTAAGGAAAAGCCTGCCTGAAGAAAAAGGTCTTTGCCTGCCTGTGGAGTAATGGGGGCTCCTGACTCAATTTTCAGGGGAAATGAACCCACTTTTTGGTCGGAACTTTACAGGAGCTGTCCACAGTACTGAAGTCCAAAGTACCTTTGATATTGCCTTTGAAGTGTGGACTAAACCCTGAAGTGGATTCACATTCTTCTAGCTTCTCCTTATGTTGCCCTTCTGCCTTTCCCTCGGACATTCTTTATCTTTCCTGTGATTCCCTCTGCTAGAGAAGGCCCAGGAGGAAGGCAAGTTCACCAGGTGCTCCTGTGGACAGGGCCGATCCGCTGATCTCACTTTACCTGCAAGGTGTTTCGGGAGGGGAAGGAACTCCAAGGATGGCTCGGATTCTATGTTCAATGATGGCTCTGCCAAGACCAGAAACCCTGCTCTATCAGAAGAGATGGGGCAGGGGGTTGGGCAGTGTGCTTGCCCAGAGGATGTTGGACTGTAATTCCCAGCATCCTTCACCTCTAGCTATCATGCTGGCTAGGTCTGAGAGCAACATTTAGAACCCAAGGAGGCAGACAGTAATGGACTGTATGGACAAATGGCCTTGCCTGTTGCAGGGCAGCCCCTGTCCATGGCACTCTCTTCGTTATTGTTTTCCACAGCCTTTGGAAAAAGTAGGCACAGAACAGACACAGAACCTGGAAATCTGCTCCAGAGGCAGATCTCGGCTGGCTGAGGGATTTGGGACTAAAGGGCAAAAATAAAAAATAAAAAAAAATCCCCCAAACCCACACAAGCTCTGCCCACAGGCACAGATACCTAAGGGGAGAACATGCAAGGTAGTGAGAACCAAAATAAAACACTCTCCCAGGGCACTTCACTGCGGCAACTGCAGTCTTCTGGATGTTACAGAATTACACGAATGGCTGGGATTGGTGGAAGTGGAAATCTGACATCAAAGGTACGTTGGGAAGCCCTGTATTGTCAACTCTAACTGGCAGCTGTTGTTTCTTTCTCAGTCCTGCCTGGAGATCCTTGGCATTCCTGGGTGGCCACCCATCCCAATACTAACCCATCCTGACTCTACTTCGCTTCCAGATTCTGCCAGGGGGCAACAGGTTGCACGACCCTGCCCTAATCCATGAGGCCGAGGATGGCCAAAGGTTCAGGAGGGCTCTCACGTGTTTGGCTTCTATGTTGGCCAGCTGTGCCCGGCTCCGGCTTTCATCCATGTTCTCCTCTTCCTGGGCTCGTTGACATTCCTCTAACTCCCTGCAGAGAAAGCAGGGTTGGAATGAGCAGGAGATGCAGATATTGGCTAGCAAGGAATACTAAAGTCTTGGGTGTTAGAAATGGCCACAAGTTGCAAGGGGTGGGTGGGAGGAATCGCAGGTCAGTGGAGAAGAGCACATGAGTTAGATGGACAAATCATTCAACTGCATTTGAAGCAGCTGCCTGCATTGTGAGCTGCCCGTCACATCAGACAGGAGGAATGTGTCTGACCCGGGGGGGGGGCTCATCGACCCTTTGAAACCATGGCTGGGCATGGACTGCATGCAGCCCTCCGTGAAGAGAAAGGGGAAGGAAAAAAAATCCAAAAATGTGTGCGTGCCCGATGGCTCTTAGAGGCATCCATGAACAGCAGCTTTTATGTTTTTGGGGTATTCAGTGCCCGAAATTCACAGCTTCCCCCAAACAGAGGGGGTCCTTTGGGAGCCACTCCTAGGCCTGGGGTGGCCCTTCAAAGAGGGTTTGTCTAGGGCCCCACACTGGGCTCCCAGCTCCCATGAAGTGGCCCTTCTACTCCTGCTCTGCACAGACTGCAAGAGGTGTCTTCTGCCTGTGCCACTGGGCACGCTCTTAGAGGCCTGCGCAACTCAGAAGCTTTATTATATATATCTATGTAGACACTGGCTTTCTTGCTCCCTATAGGCATTTCTTCCCCAGCCTGGTCATCTAATCCTTAAACTCCACTTAGTTCTCACAACACAGTTCAGCACAGTTCTGGCCAGCCTTAACAGGAGGCCCAGTAACACTTCCCCAGTTAATCGGACAAAGCTTCTGCCACAGGGAATCTGGCCTTGCCTGCTGGAGCTATAACCCAGAAAAGTAACTCTGTCCAGTCCGGGCAGGGAGTAAGGAAAAGGGTTTGGCCTCGCCATCTCCCAGCGCACGACTCCAAATCGCAGGAATGTAGCACTCAGCAAGGACTAACAAAAGGGTCTTCTCTAACCCCAAGACACTCGAGCAGGAATGCGGGAACTGTGGCTTTTTATTAGGGGTGCTGGACTGCAATGCCCATCAGCCCCAGTCAACACTGCCAATAGCAGGGGAGGATGGGAGATGCAGTTTGAAAAGTATTTGGAGGGCCACACATCCAACAGATAGTCTTTGGCAGTCTCGTCCTCCAGCCCTCGACTGAGATGGGAACAGTCTCCTAGCTTGCGTTACAGGCCATGCTACACGTTATTGTAAAAAAGTACAGGAAGTGGTCAGCACCCATGGAAGCACACCAAGTTATCACGATGATCATAATGTAAGGAAGCGCCCACCCACCAGGGCTGTCTGTGCTGCCTGTACCTCCAGAAATCCCTCTCGCCTCCCACCTACCTTTCCTTCTCTGCCATGATGAGTTTGGTGAGATAAGAGTGCAACTCGTTTTCCTGGTTGATCCGCTTCTCCTCAATGTTGTTCCAACGCTTCTTCTTGGCGATCCGTAGAGCGCTTGGAATGTCATCCCCAAAATTCAGTCGCTGCTCTTTGGCTAAATTGTAAGCTGTTTGGGGGGGGGGAGGTAACAGAAAGAGGCTGTGTCAAGAGAAAGAACTAGAAGAGCGATTCCTAACTCTGCACGCACCTAATTCGAGGGGACCAGGACAGCTGAGTGAGCCAGGGGTCGGGAGCCTGATTCCCCTCGCTGTGCCAGCCTGTGTGGCCTTGGGCCAGCTGCACAGTCCCAGAGCTGACACCAGAAGAAGGGAATGGGAAATTACTTCTGAGTCGTTCTCCACCTAGAAAACCTTGAAAATGGTCCCCATGTCAGAACTGACTTGACAGCACATGAGGGTGATGATTATTGCCTGCAAACATACCAGATCGGTTTAAATGAAACAGAAAACCAGTGTTTCCCACAATGTGAATAAGCTAGCCTGCATAAATGGACTGGTCAATTCATCCCCTTCTCAAGCTCTTGGTAGGATCACAAGCAGGAGAACAGAAGTATCCACCTAAACTTGAACATGATGCCATTTCCTCCATGCCCAGACTGGAAGAAATCTGGTCTCCTTGCACCAGGGTTTCAGAACAAGCCAAAATGCAAAACCATAGCTTGCTCTTGGCTTGTTCCAACCTCATCGTTTTCAACCTTTATTCCTCTAGAATAGATATTTAGATTTCCATTCTCGGAAGCCCTAGAGAGCAAGGGCAGGGATCCAGGCCACTGGACAGAGACCGCTAGGGCTCTTTGGTTTCATTCACCAAGCAAGCAATTCATTTTCCAAATGGGACTCTGATCCACAAATTCAAGCACAAGCACAATGACAAACCCTAAAAGCCAAAACAGAAATTCAATCACATTTGGGAGGGGAGAAATGCTACCGGTGTAATCCCATGGGTGAAGTCCAATACCTCAGAGAGTAAGGGATGCAAATTCTTGCACATTTGTTTCTTACAGGCGAGAACAGAACACCTCATAACTGTTGTAGTTATTGAGCAGCAGTGCAAGAGTGGGATTTGTGCGATCTGCACATTTTGGGACCCTTTCCTAGATAATTCACAGAATGTGTGAGCATGCGTGTGTGCTCAAAAACCTGCATTTTGAACAAAATACAAGGTTTTTAAAAAAAGGCAAAACACACATTTATTTGGGCAAAGACCTCACATTGTTTTGCTAATACTCGTGGTGACCAGACATGGGGTATTTGTATTCATATCTACTGTACTTAGCGCTCACATGACCAGCATTATTCTTGTCTGGGAAACAGCCCAGCCGGCACTTCCTTGGCTCCCCACGCAGCCTGAGCAGGGAGACTCATCGTCCCACCTGCTTGCTGGAGAACCAGGAAGTGGAACCTGCTGGTTTGGAGGGGAGGGTCCAGTTTTCCCAGGGACCTGTATTCATATTCTTATCCCCCTGCCCCGGGGGACTGAACTACGGACAATTTTTTCAACAAGGTGTCTTGATATGTCAAGACACTTATGTTTGACCAGGACAAGTATTTGCTATATTGTTCGTTTTGTGTAACAAAGACTGAGAACCCCTGTTCTAATAAACAACCGATCCTGAGTTTGCACATGGGGCACCAAATTCTGAGCAAAGCAGGAAGGACAGAAAGTTGGAATTTGTGACAGAGAGGCCTCATTTGGCCATGGATCAGAGGAATGAGCAACAAGAGTGACTCACTCCAACTAGAACCCTTCAAAGCTAGAATCCAGCATCCCTCCCCAGATAAGGACACCTGGCGAATGAAATACTCCCTGGCTCAAACAGACATCAAAAAAACGAAAAGCTGTCCTCCCCAAGGAGTGAACAAGACAGGATTCCTTTTGACTTCAGAAACTGCCCGGCAAAGAAGCAGGGGGGTAGGAACCAATAAGACAGAAGGAAAACTGGGCTGCTCAGCCGAACAACGGGGAGCGTGCTGAATATCTCACGCAGCTCTGGGAAGCGGAACATTGACTCCGCCTAATGCTATAACTCCCACCAGTTCTTCCCAGTACAGCTGACAGAGAGGAATTATGGGAACTGCAGACCAACCACAACTACCAGGCCATGCATTCCCAGTTCCTCCTGCATGAGAGAAGTACCATTTCTCCCTTCATCCTCACCCAACCCATTGATGTCTCTTAATCCTGGGCAGCCACCTTGATGCAGAGTGTGCCTGCTCTAAAGCATGTGCAAACAACCATGTGGCCCAAAAAGGGTGGGCAACGCGCCACTCCTCAGCCCCTTCATGCTCCCGTATTTTTTAAAAGCTTTTTAAAAGGGCACAGGAAGTCCCCTTGTGCCCTCCAGGGGGTTTCTTAGAAACCCCCAGCACCTACTGGTCTTCTCACAATTCTAATTTTTTAAAAGATCCTAGGAAAACATAGGCCCCAGTAGAGAACACAGGGAACTTTTTCAGTTAAAAAAGCAATTCACTGTAAGAAAAAAATGGGGGAATCGTGGGGGCAGCCCTCCAGAGATCTGGGGCTAATTGATAACAGTGGTTCAGACTGGAAAGCTGTGGGTCCAAATCCACACCGGACCATGAAGTTCACTGAGTGACCCTGGGGCAATTGTGAGGATCATGCTGCCTGTCCTACCTCACAGGGTGGTTCTCAAATTTTAGAAAGGGAAGGAATGGTAGACTATTTTTTAAAAATGCATACAATTTAACATCCACTCAGCTGCACCCATCCGGTCACACCCACCCTGGCAGGGCCCCTGGAAAGGGGACCCCCAAAGTCCAGCAGAGGCCAGCCGGCTTACCTCTCTGAAGGTTGGCGATGGCCTCATCGTAGTTCTCCATCTCCATCTGGCACTGGCCCAGGAAGAAGTGGGCTTTCACCGACTGGCCGTCCAGCTCCAGGGCGTGCTTGCAGTCCGCCAAGGCCTTGTCGTGCTGCTGCATCTTGAGATAACATAAGGCCCGGTTGGTGTAGTAAACGGCCACCAAGGGGTTCCGGTTCTGGAAGGAAACAAGAGTCAGGAGAGGCCTGCAGGGGGACCAGAAGAGGTCTGTTTCATTGCCGAAGACAGGCTAAGCGGGCTCCTTCCATCCGAAGGGCCTTAGCCGGTAGAGGAACTAGACAAACTGGCCACTGAGTCCTGCTGTAGCTTCAAGGAACCCCTGGGTCTTGAGACACATTGGACTACAACTTCCTAAACTTCTTTGCTGACGGCGAGGCAGAGTGTGAGGCTGCTGGGAGTTGGAATCCAACATCTCCAGCGATTCGGAAATTACTTTTTGGACTACAGTTCCCATAACGCCCCAGCCAGATGGGGGAGAATTCTGGGAGTTTTAGTCCAGAGATGATGAAGCATCCTCTTTCTAGCTCTGAAGACATGGTGAGGGCCAATGGGACCCTCATCTGCTGGCATTTTCCACCTTATCTGAGAGTAGCCACTTAGCATGAGAGGGGACACACAGCAGGTTGTGCAACACACAAAGCTGTCCACCAACAGACGGGAAAAGATCCAGAGGGCAACCCCCCACACACACACAGCCCCGAATCTGTTGGCTGAAGCAACTCCATCATTCTGCCTCACAATAGGACCAGCTCTGCTCTCAATAATCTAAGCAAGGGATGAGCAGAAGGTAGATGGGGACCGGAAGGAAATCAGCACAGATTACCTACTTCCACTTGTTTAATAACAGCATGGAAAGGAATGCGGAAGATGAAACTGAGCTATAGGGAATGCTCCTTTTGTGATGCAGCTGGATGAATGAACTGGGACAAAGGGTTTGACTCTGGTTCCATTAGAGGTAGGGAGAAGCATTTGTTCTTGATCTGACAGAAGAGAGGGCAAGATCCTGCAACTACTTATGAAGGAAGTCTCATAAAGACATTTCTTACTTCTTGTATAATCCTGCATAATTACTGTCATTGGCCAAATTAAGAGCTGCTAAATTGGTGATGAGGGCTCCAGAAGAGTCATTTTGACAATCTAGTTCTCTAATCAAGTCATCAGCCTTTCACAAAAAGAGCTTTATGGTTAGGAGAGATATCTGTGGAATTAGCAGTCCCCAAATGATAAGGAACAAGGTAATGTGGAAGTGGTTTCCACAACACTCTAGCCGCCTAGAGTGGCCGCAAGACCAGATAGGCGGGATATAGAATAAACAAACAAACAAACAAACCCCAGGGAGGCGTTAAGCCAGAAACAGTGGAAGGCCAAATGAGTGATGGGGACCGTTCCCCATATATCCACAACCCATCTAGAACTTATCAAGACCTTCCAGGCTCAACAAACAGATCTGCAAAAAAGGGTAAGACTGAAATCTACGTAATTCAGCACCCATCTCCCATCCCCACACATATCATGGCCATTCAGAGGCCCACAAACAGGCTATAAAACCAGCATAGCTGTGATCTACTGACCTACCCCACCCCCAAAATTAGAATGCCAAAGTCTGAACCTGGAAGCTTAGCTGGCACGTGATTCACAGCCACTGACCTACCATGTTTTCTGTGTAATCTTCATTTAAGACAGTCATAGTGTTTTGGGTCCCTTTTTTTTAAACACAAAGCCAAATATATGGCCGTTCCCAACCCAACAACTGGCAAAAGATCCTGGGGTGAGGGCCAAAATCCCTGCTCCCCTTGCTCCATAGATTATTTACAGCAAGCAACCAAAGTGCAAGTTTAATTTTGAACAAAGAGTCACGTGGTGCCTTTGAGGTTAACACACCGATTAGGGCACAAGCTTCTGTGGCCCGTAGACTATGAAAGCATGTGGTATAATCAGTCTTTCAGCCTCAGAGATACTATAGGGCTCTGTGTCATTTTGCTGGCACAAATTAACACAGCTCTTATGGGGGAAATCTGTAATTTCTGCATTTGTGCCCCCATGTGGTGAAAGGTGTTGCATGGATTGGGACCAGAGATGGGCACGAAACGCTGGTTCAGCAGTTCGTGCAGGTTTCTCCTTCGGACAAATAGGTGCTAGCTCCAGCTTCCCTGCCCTGCCTCCTCTGGCGGGTGCCCACTCATGCACAATGCTCCAGCTTCCCTGCCCTGCCTCCTCTGGGCACTGCCTCTTAGTGGGCACCTGCTGGAGGAGGCGGGGCTGGGAACTGGTGAACTCCTGTTCATCCAAATGACGAACTGATGAACTGGTGGTTCACGCCCATGTCTAATCGAAAGGCCTTCAAGAAACAGTTTGAAGTTGCTTTCGATAGGCCACTGGGGAGTGTTTTGGCAGCTCAAGAGTTCCATTCAATTCCTTTTTTGTTTTCATGCCGCAAGGAAGGCGGGACCTTAGCCTGGAGAGCTGGCCAAAAGCCGGTTCTAGGACAGCGAGAGGGGGCGGCCAAGTCAGCGCTCTCTCACCAGGCCGCCTGCTTCCACCTTCACAGGCAAAAAACCCTAAAAAGTGGAACAAGGTAAACAGGACCAAGTTTTAAATGACATGCTCAAGGTATTTGGGGAGGAGATAATTATCTACCAGAAAGAAGGAAGGGAGGGCAGGGAAGGGAAGGAAAAACTGCAAGGACTCGTAAGCATCTTTTTGAATGTTCAAAAGCTTCAGACATCAGATCCCTAATTCGAATGACAATCCTTTTGTGTTGGCCAGGATCATTCCTCACACAAAACTAGGGCCTGGAAAGTTTATTTTTCTGGATTGCACCTGCCAGAACCATTCACGTACATTCAGCTGACTTAACAGGTCTGAACACAGAATTTCTCTTATCGATTACTAATTGGGATTAATAACAGAGTAGCAGTGCACAGCAGAGTATTAAAGTGAAGTAATCATCTATTAGATTCACTGATTAGGAAAGCTGCTTTTTGAAGTACTGTAGCAACTTTTTAAATACTTATACTGGCTATGGGATTCTGGGATTTGCAGTCCAAGAAAGAAAGAAAACTTCTGATTTCTGAATGATGGGGAGCGGGTGAGAATCAAGAGGATGACAGTTGATCCGAATGTCACCAAGCAAGCACAGGAAAGATCTGAATGGGGGCTGGGAGTGGCAGAAGCTTTGCCACTCAAGCCTCACTCCCAAAAGAAGAGATCTGAACTACAGCTCATATTCTCCCCATCTAGAATCACCTGAGTGGAGTGGGATGATGGGAGCTGTATTCCAGCACATTAGGAAGGCGCCCAGTTAGAAAAGGCAAACTAACGAAAGAAAAGTCTTGCTCAAGGTTTAGAAGTTAATTTTTTGGGCCAACAGATTTTTTATACTTATATACCGTATATACGTATGTAGGACTATGAATTCTAGTCCCACTATCTGATTTCTACAAAAGCCCTCTTTGGTTACTGTTTTCCATAAAAATAATGTTCACAGAATACTGCCCCTGAACATGGAAGCTCTCCACATAGCGATCTGGCTTTTTATACACAACCACTAGACTTCCCTAGCTCTCATCTCTTCTGCTTGGAATGTGTTTTGGCTGCACCACTGAAGGCTGAATAGCTGGCACGCATCCCCAAATGCTTGGCTTCTGTGCCTTTTTGGCTCTGAGCAGACCTCTCTCTTTCTCTCTCTGTTTTTTACGCAGGGAACTCATGGCTTTATATAATTTGGAGAAGCTTTCCTGACCTGACGGAGCTAAGTCACATCCTATCTAAAGGATGGACAGCTCCAACGTGTCTCGTGGGACACTGGAGAAATGCAAATTAAAATATCAGGCAGATCCTGCCACCTCCTTCCTCAGTGTTGCATCCTCTCCAGCACTCTGCCACCTTCTGCTGGTTCCACAGTCAAGCGCATGGGACAGACTGTATGAGGATTCAAATCTCCCCTTCATCAGCAAAGTAGGTGACTTTGGCCTAGTCACTGTCCCTTAGCCTAATCTTCCTTGCAGGGACGTTGTGAAAAGGTTGAGATAACCTCGCCTGTACTGATCAGAGCATGTCAGGGGAGAAATAAGGTGAGAGTATTTAAGTCACACACACAAAATACAGTGCAGAAGTGTGTGTGTGCATGTCAGGCACACCAGGTTTAGCAACTGACTAGCTGCTGACAAAGCTTGTTTTAATGGGTGGCTGCTGCCCGTATTTATTGCTTTGCTTTTAACTGCTTAATGTAACTGTTAGTTTCAATAACAGCAGACACATAAAATCAACTGATTTATGTAACTGTTGACTAAACAACTCAGATTCCTTCCTTCTACTGTGATTAACCACTATAATTAGTGTATTCTAATTTAAATGTGTTCTAATAATATAATTTATTCTTTTTTTAATCTGTTTTTCCTAACTCACTGTGCTGGAAGTGGAAACTCAGTCTTGCAGGAAAATAACATAAATAGTAGTACTAGTATCAAAGACAATATACCCCAATGGGGGCACTGTTGTGTGGTTGCTGGTGAAAGGAGAAAGCTAGGAGTCGTCATGCCAGGGAGGGTGTGGGATGGGGTGGGTTCAACAGCAGAGGAGCACAAGGGCTGCTCAACGTATGTCGGGGACCCTCTGTGGCCTGAGGGTGATGGATCCCTGTTTGTATACATATACATTTGTGTGACGTATTATGTTATTATCTCGTGCCATCAAGTCAATTTTGACTTAGGGCGACTCTTTTCAGGGCTTTCCATGTAGAGGGAATGCCCAGAAGTAGTTTCCCATTCCCATTCCCTTCTTTTGGGGGCACCCTGGGAGTGTGTACAGTTTGCCCAAGGCCACCCAGGCTGGCTCTACTCGCAAGAGTCACCCTGGGGGAACTGAACTCCCAACTTCTGGCCCTGCAGCCAGATATGTAACTCACTGATCTATCCATTCAGCTATGTGTGATCTGTATACTTAGAGGAGAAAGGTGGATCCTGCAAGTCGAATCTAAATTTTGCAGCCAGAGAAGTCTGTAACTTGAAAAGTCTGTAAGTCGAGCCGTCTGTAAGTCGAGGGTCCACTGTATGTAACTCACTGATCTATCCATTCGGCTATGTGTGATCTGTATACCTAGAGGAGAAAGGTGGATGCTAGAGATGGGCTATTTGTACTTGCATCCCTGTGGATCTGAATACGGAAAGTGGCACCACGGATTCCACGGAGATCCATTCCCTCCCCCCCCCGAAAACTGGCCGGTCCAGTCACCATTTGGCGTGTGGCACTCAACTCTGTCATCGCTGCGCCAATCGCGGAAGGAGCCCGGCAAGCTCTTCCTCACCTCTCCATGCAGCCGACCACGATCAGCTAAACGGGGAAGCTCCCTGCCCGGCCTCCATCCCCGGGGATACGAATACAAGAGCCCATCTCTAGCCGGGATCCTTTTTTTGCAGCCGTTTGCCCCATGCCCCACCCCAAATCTTTTATGCCACGAGCTGCCTCGGCACGCAGCACCTATGCCCGCCACAACAGCCCTGCCTCCCCCACAGCCCTGGGTGGCACTTGGGCCTGTTCAGTGGAAGGCTGTGTGGCATCCTCGTCCCGTCCCCATCTCAGCCTTTCAACTCTTCTTACCCTCAGTCGAAAACAGAGAAGGGAAGGCGCATGACCTCTGGCCATCCAGTTGTTCCTCTCCCTCCTCACTCAGAAGGAGAGGCACTCTGCCCATGTTCGGAAACGCAAAACAAAACAAAGAAGGGAAGGCGCGTGACCTCTGGCCATCCAGTTGTTCCTCTCCCTCCTCATTCAGGAGAGGCACTCTGCCCATGTTCAGAAACACCTGCTTTTCTCAGACCTGATCCAAGCAAAACCCTCAGATGCCTTTCCCTCCTCCATCCTATTCCATTCCCATACAATGTGGGTCCCCAGTGGCCCTCCAGATATTCCTGGACTACAAGCCCCATCGAACCAGCATGCTATTCCATTCCCATACAATGTGGGTCCCCAGTGGCCCTCCAGATATTCCTGGACTACAAGCCCCATCGGCCCAAACCAGCATGGCTGGCAACCAGAACAACAACTCAGGCCCGATATCTGGAGTGCCACCAGATGCCCATTCCTGCCTGCACAGGAACCAAGACTGGCCCCCATCAAGGCACTCTGCCTATGCTCTGAAGCCACCTTTATCCTCCACCTTTCCTTCAAATCAATTTCAACAGCCAGGCCTAAAGGCAACCACAGTCCTTGCTTGCCTCTCAGGCACACACACCCCTTTTCACCCCCAATCTGAAGACAGGCCAGGAACAGCAGCACACTCTGCCCATGCTCAGAAGCACTCTGGTTTACTCACAGAGCCAGACCCTAACCCTAACCCTTCCCCCCCAGTCGTTTCAAACCTTAGAAGTGTCACCACTCGTTGTTGTTGTTTTTGACTACAACTTTCAACCCAACATGTTGGCTTGGGTTCGTTTCAAACCTTAGAAGTGTCACCACTCCTTGTTTATTTTTTACTACAACTTTCAACCCAACATGTTAGCTTAGGTATTCTGGGAGTGGTAGTCCACCAAAAAGCTGGCTGGGGGATTCTGGGAGTAGTAGTCCACAAAAAAGGCTGGCCAGGGGATTCTGGGAGTGGTAGTCCACAAAAAAGCTGGCTGGGGGATTCTGGGAGTAGTAGTCCACAAAAAAGGCTGGCCAGGGGATTCTGGGAGTGGTAGTCCACAAAAAAGCTGGCTGGGGGATTCTGGGAGTAGTAGTCCACAAAAAAGGCTGGCCAGGGGATTCTGGGAGTGGTAGTCCACAAAAAAGCTGGCTGGGGGATTCTGGGAGTAGTAGTCCACAAAAAAGGCTGGCCAGGGGATTCTGGGAGTGGTAGTCCACAAAAAAGCTGGCTGGGGGATTCTGGGAGTAGTAGTCCACAAAAAAGGCTGGCCAGGGGATTCTGGGAGTGGTAGTCCACAAAAAAGCTGGCTGGGGGATTCTGGGAGTAGTAGTCCACAAAAAAGGCTGGCCAGGGGATTCTGGGAGTGGTAGTCCACAAAAAAGCTGGCTGGGGGATTCTGGGAGTAGTAGTCCACAAAAAAGGCTGGCCAGGGGATTCTGGGAGTGGTAGTCCACAAAAAAGCTGGCTGGGGGATTCTGGGAGTAGTAGTCCACAAAAAAGGCTGGCCAGGGGATTCTGGGAGTGGTAGTCCACAAAAAAGCTGGCTGGGGGATTCTGGGAGTAGTAGTCCACAAAAAAGGCTGGCCAGGGGATTCTGGGAGTGGTAGTCCACAAAAAAGCTGGCTGGGGGAGCCTGGGAGTGGTAGTCCACCAAAACGCTGGCTGAGGGAGCCTTGGAGTGGTAGTCCACCAAAAAAGCTGGCTGGGGGAGCCTGGGAGTGGTAGTCCACCAAAACGCTGGCTGAGGGAGCCTTGGAGTGGTAGTCCACCAAAAAAGCTGGCTGGGGGAGGGAAGGAGGGACCGACCGGCCGGGGCGGCGCCGGCGCCTCAGGAGGCCTCCGGGCCCGACAGGCCTCAGGCGGCGGAGGGGGAGGGGCCTCTCGCGGAAGGGGGTGGGATGATGGAGGAGTGATGGGCGGCTGAGGGAAACCGCCGTTTCTCTTCCCCCCCCTTTCTTTCTCCTCAGGAAAAAGAGAAAGCGCTGGTTTTCTGAGGTGATTTCTTGCCCCCTCAGGTGGGTCCCCGCCCTGTTGCCCCTCCCCCCCCAGACTGGTCGAGGCGGTTGGAGGGGCCTCCAAGTGGGGGTTGTGTGTGGGGGGGGTTTGCTTTCTTTACAACCTCGCAGGCTGCCTGTGGGGGAAGGGGGGGGTTGGTAAGACGAGGAGCCATTTTGATGGGCCGAGGCACCTGTCCGTCTATCCAGGACTAGCCAATGGCGGCTCTTGGAATGAAAGGAAAGCCCCGCCTCTCTGCGGAGGGTTCTCTTTCCCTCTCTTTCCTGATTGGTTGGCAGTGGTTTGTTTATGACAGAGAGGCGCGTTGGGTTGTAGGCCGCGTTGTAGGGAAGAAAGCAGAGGACACCAGTCTGTCATACCACGCAACTGGAAGTACCTGGACTTCATGCATGCCAGTGTGTGGCTGATGGGATTACTTGTCCTGCCAGCAGCCTTTGGCAAGCCACCTAGAGGAGGGACTGTTGAGCCATTCCTCAGTATTTGATGCTTAGAAAACCCCGAAAGCTTTACCCAAAGTTCTGAACTGGGTCAAAAATAAGAGAGTAAGTATTCCTCCCAGGCCATGCATTGAGTGTTCGTGGCTGTATGGAGACTTTCGACCTGTGTCTTCTCAAATCTCTTCAGAGCCCTCTCGCCACTGTACCCTACTGCCTCTTGATCATGCCTCCTCCCCTGTGGCGTCCCAGGCCTCCTGTCTTATCCCACGCTCAATATTTGCTTTCTTTCCCAGGCAGCTCGAGAGGATGGTGCCAGAAGGAGGCCTTTACAGCTCCTCCGATCCTGCTTACTGGACGGCTGCTTTGGAGGTTTACCAGGACGCAGTGAAGGCCAAAGGACGCAAGCAGCCGAAACTTCTTCTCTTGGATAAATGGTAGACATGCTCAAGGCTGTACTCGGCTGCGGTGGCGCGTTAGCGCTGTCCTGCTTCGATGGGAGTGCTTTGATGGGAGTTCCTGCATGGCAGGGGGTTGGAGTCGATGGCCCCTCTGTGGTCCCTTCCAACTCTGTGATTCTATGATTACCTCCAAGATGGTTTCGTTGAGTTGGAGCTAATTTACGACCCTAAAAGATTGGGTTGGGCAACCTCCAGAGGTTCGGGGTTTGCACACAGGCACATCCTTGGATCTTGAGTGTCACAACTCCCGTGGCACCTGTATGGGAGGGGTGTTATTCAAAAAGTCCCCTCCTGTACCCACAGATGACCAGAAATTTTAAAAATTGCTTCCAAACTCTCCAAAAGGCACAAAGAAACTTTCTGAGACATTTCCCCTTTACTCTCCAAAAATGAAAAATTGTGGACTGTTGAGAGGAAAACTCCAGTTTCAAGCGTCCTGTAAATCCAGTCCGGTTTTTAGTCTGCACTTTACAGGAGTTGTCCAAGTGTCCGGCCCTATTTGGGTTCATTGCCGTGGCGAGGTCCTGTAAAGTAGAGACTGAAACCTGGAGGAAATTCGGGCATCTTCCCATCGCACCCCTGGCTGTGTTTGGTGACACCCAGTAGCACCGTGGTACACAGTTTGGGAACTACTGCCGTAAGCCACGTATCTCTAGGCCACTAGCCTTGCCCACACACCTTTTGCCCAGGGTACCCTTATACCTAAAGGTTGGACCTGATGAACAGCTGCAGACTCAAATTTACATCATGCAGTTCTTTTGATGACCGCTCGGGTTTGTAAAGGATCCACAAGACTTTTTTCCCTGTTCTTTCTTTTCATTCATTCATTCATTCATTCATTCATTCATTCATTCATTCATTCATTCATTCATTCATTCATTCATTCAATTTATACCCCGCTCATTTAGACAATGTCTATTCTGGGTGGCTTACAGTAAAATAGCATTAAAACAATTTATACAACAATAATAAAACCGTTCAAGATGCGAAGATAAAACTCTAATGAAAAAATAAAGATGGGGAAAATAAAATAGAGGAATAAGGATCAAGTAGTAACAGGAGGGAACTGTTGGCACTGTTTAAAGCGATGCCATTTATTTCTCCCCTTCCCTCCCCGACAGGTACCAAGAGGAGCTGCCTGGGGCTGTTACTCAACGGAAGGAAAAATACTTGACGAAGGAGGAGCTGGTGAAGCTGATGGAATGGAAGCTTTGTGTAAGGAACAGGAGCAGGTGGTGACTGAAGTCATTCGAAGCCCTGGGTTCGAACCTTTGCTCCGTCAGATTCTGCTTCGGGTCTCTATCTCTATGGATAGGAACATTAATGATGCGTCTGACATTTTTGGAGCAGCTTTTGTTTTAGTACTTTTGCTAAATTTACTGGCCTGTCAAAACTGTTCTTCATGACTAGCCACCTTGGGCTCATCAGTAGCGTGCAAGAGAGAGAACGAAAATTTTCTGGGCACTTCCTCAATTCATAATAAAATATTTCCTGCTTGGTTCCCATTGGTAGAAGCACTGTCTTCTTGATGCTGATGGATGGCCACTCCCGGCTTTCCTCACCATTGAGTGTGTTGGCAACATCTGCTCAGCACCATCTGGATGGTGGCACTTGGCCCCCTCCAGCTAAACAGGAGGACTCCTGGATCTATGGGGGATCACTTCCAAGCCCCTCCTCCCCGATGCTGAGAAATGCAGATTACAGTCGTGCCCCGCTTAACGATTACCCCGTATAATGACAAACCCACTTCACGACGATGTTTTTGCAATCGCAATTGCGATCACAAAATGATCTTTAGATGGGTTTTTTTCGCTTAGCGATGATCGGTTCCCTGCTTCGAGAACCGATTCTTCGCATTATGACGATCAAAACAGCTGATCGTCGGGTTTTCAATGCATTGCAATGGGCTTGCATTGCAATGGGCATTTAAATTTTAAATTGCAAGTTTTATATATAGCTTGGTCTCTGGCTCCCTCTAGTGGCCAGTTCTGTTCATTTCATCTTTAGAACTGTACGTATCTCTAGGATTAAAAAAAATATTTTTAATATTTTCAGACCGTGGATGAGTGAATCAGTGGAAACTAATCCCGTGGATAGTGGGGCTCTGGTGTACATATTTTCTGCCTGCCTCGACTAGGGAGGTGGCTTTTTCAAGTCCAATGTAGTGTGAGATTCCTATATTTTAAAGGCAGGCCTTCATCCGAGGGCGGGGAGCCTCTTTCAGATTGAAGACAGGATTCAGCTTCAGAGCGGGTTGGGACCCATGATTCCGTGGTGGGTTGGGTCCAAAGAGAAATGGCTGGGATCCAAAATTGCAGGTTATTTTTCGCTTAAAGCTCTTATAGTTTATAAATAAAGCTTAGGGGAGAGACATTCCAATCTTTTAGAAATGGATGAGGTGCAGGAAAAGCTGGGGGATGCACCTAATTATGGGGTCATGGAGAACCTTAGAGGGTCAGCTTTGGATCCCAGTTGGACACCGTTAAGCCCGTCACTGTTATTTAATTGTATCTTGAGCTGCCTGGATCCCGGCTGTGGGAGAAAGGCTGGCTAGTTGTCAAAGAAATACCCAAATAGCCACAGAGGCAAATAACGTCCGGCCGTTCCTTTCCCTCCAGAGAGGCACATTTCGTCCTCGGCTGCAGCAACTGGTGGCCACAAATGCCAGTGAGACGGTGGAGGACTGCACCAGAAAGGCTTTTGAGCTTCTTCCCGACATCGCAGCGGCTGTGAAGGAGCTGAGCAAGCTCAAGGCGGTGGGACCTGCTACAGCTTCAGGTGGAGAAAGGCTTAAAGATTCTGGATGGTTGTTCTCTTAACTTCATTTTCTGATATTCTTCCTAGGGGTCATCCTGGTTGCGGGGTTTCAGTGAATTGTACTTTAAAAAAAAAGTAAAGTACAGCAAGGGTCCCCAACCCCGGTCTGTGGACTGGGCTGCAGCGACAGATCTCCCACTCACCCTGCACACACTCTCACCCCCGCATAGCCTCTTCATGCATGCGCACAAGAGAGTGCCCCCCATCCCAGCGCGAGTGTCCCCTGCCCTTTGCACATGCACGTGAGCGCCTCCACTCCTTCGTGCATGCATGCCAGTGTGCACGTGCCGGCTCCTTTGCGCATGTACGCGAGCGCAGGGGGTGCCCCACCTTCCTCAACTGGTCCATGGAGTTAAAAAGGTTGGGGACCAGTGGAGTACAGTATAATCCTCATAGCTGCCATATCAGTATATGTGGTTTCACTTATCTGCAGCCTGAAAATGTTAAAAAATACATTTTTGTTGTTGAACAATACATAGCATGGTCTCTGACATTGTCTAGTGGCCAGTTCAGGTAATAGACGAACATACTTATTTCTGGATGATTTTTCTTTTACCATGCTATGTATAGCATTCATTGCTACCCATGCGTTTCAACATCCACCCAGGGGCTTGGAACCAATTCCCCACAGATACAGCCGTCCTGCTGTACAATACAATGCACCACAAAAATAAAATAAAAGTAAACTTTTAATTTAATTAAAAAATTTAAAAATTAGGTTTTCCCAGGCCTGGAATTGGACTGCATTCATTGGCCCATGGAGAGGTCTGTTACTGAATCCGTACACAGTTCCGTGCTTGCTCTCCTCCCTGACACCCTACCCCTTTGCTTCTCTCTTAGCCATCTTGGCTGCAGGAGCCCCAAAGACAGCGGCATTTATGGCCGATGAAGCGGTGGAGTCCATTCCAGGCCTGGCCCCCGTTCGGTACACCCTGAAGCACTACTTATGCTATCTAGATCGAATCCAGAGCTGTGTGGAAAGGCTGAACAGAGGTAAGAAGGGGAGGTTTGTCTCTAGAATAAAGTAGCAACGGCTTTGAACAAGCCCAATTTAGGGGTTCGCCCACCTACTGTTGTCTTGGGCCCCCCCTAAGTCATTTCCAATAGGGCGACGTTGACCTCAGGTTGAGAAAGATCTCTATTTATGAGGTTATACCTTTTCCTCCCTATGTTTCCTAGCTGACGAGAGGAAAACATGGACACCTCACCTGGTCGAAAGGTGCCTCTGGGCTTCGGCTGTTGCTGATAAACTGCAGGTGGCCTCCCTCCAGGTCTTAGATGGGGAGAAGGAGGAAGCAGGCCATGGCCCCGAAGAAGCGGATCGGGCCAGAAAGAAACCGAGGAGGGAATGAAGGCTTCCAGACCCCTACGGGGTTTGTACCAATCCCCATCTTTCCGTGTGCAGAAAAGCTGAAGCTGGCATATGCGTAGAAGTCATAGCAAGGGAGACTTTCTGTCTCAGGCCTATCAAGAGCCCCACACTTGTGGGTCAAACGATGCAGCAGTCCCAGCAGGAGAGCCCGTCAAGGTGGTTCTGCCTTCTTGATGCTGGGACCTACAGGAGAAAGGATAGAATTGATTCATGGAAGTCACACAGAAGTATCCTTGATTCAGTGCATCTACTCATGCTGGCCCTCGCAGTTCAGTTTAGCCCATGCTACCTTAACAGCCCTGGCCTGCAGCCGGGGGGATTTTATACATCAAAGTGAACACACAGTTATTTTTAAGTGTGCTCCTTAGCCGAATATAAGCTCAGCAAAGCACAGCTGTACTCATGGAGGATGTTTACAGAGCAGCATCTATAAGTGCGAGAAGTATCTGAAGCCTGCCGATCAAACCCTCTTTTTAAAAAGGGGTTGATGAGAAGGGCTTTTTCCTGTAGCAATACCTCCTTCCTCCCGAAAGAGGTCAATGTGGCTCCGTCTGCTTTTTAAAAACTAATTATTTCCCAAGTTTTTAAACATCACAGGACATCTCAAATACCTCTTCCCAGTTGCCTTTTCCACCCCTAACAACTACATGTGCGGTCACAACCTCCGGTCTTATGGATAACAATCCAGAGAAAACCACTAAATACACCATCCAGTCATTCTTTTTCATACTGTAATTAACCCTGCCATTCTACTCTATAATTACCTGGAAACATAATATCAATATTTTTTTGTCATTAACAGATTGAATAAATGGATGTCATATTGGGGGAAAAAATTGTATGTGGCTTGATTTTCTCTTGTCCGTCAAATGACTACGAGACAGTTTTCCCATAATAGCTGCAAACCAAATATTTTTCGTGTTACATAGTTGATGATTAATCATTGGACTCGAGTCTGTGGCCAGACAAGACTGTTATTATTCCGTATGGCTTTTATTATTTGAAACTGCAGGGCTGGACGTGATCGCCTCAAGGAAGACAATGAAATACCTCTGCTTGAACTGCTTTCTAGCTGTTTTGGTTCATGAATTAATTATTTTTTTAAAAAAAAAATTATGTCTGCTGCATCGTTGGTCTGCTTTAAAGAATGGAGGCTTTTAATAATAATAATAATAACAACAAAGGGCTTTTGTGTGTTGGTAAAGAATTTTTAAAAAACCTTTTCAAGCTCACCCATTGTTTTAGGCTGTAAATAAGTAAGGACTTCTAATAAATAAATAAAATAATCACCCCAGGGAGGCTTCAAAACTAGCAGTAAACTCGTTTGGATGAAAAATGGACCCTGTGTAAGGGGATGGCATTTGCAGAGGGGGAAATCTGGAGGCAGACTGTGCTCAGCCCTTCAATCATCTCCCCCCCCCCCATGTTCCTCGCAGATGCCCTCCCCTCTAGGGCAAATTCGCCCGCCACCACTAGCCAAGCTGTGAACAAGAGAATAAATTTAGCTGGAAGAATCTTGCCGGGCTAAGTAAATGTGGGTTACATTTATACAGAGGGATGAACAGGAGAAATGAAACCTTCCACAGCACTTAGAAAGGACCACCTTGCATTCCCATTTATGTAAAGGAGGGTTGAGCTGGAAAGCCAAGGTTGGGAGTTCGATTCCCCACTTATGCCTCCTTGCCAGGGGCTAGACATGATGATCTAGAGGGTCCCTTCCAGCTGCAAAGTTCTAAGATCATTCTTATTATAAAATACAGTTGACAAAGGTAACCCCGTTCCTTCTGACGTTCGGTTACGCAGTTCCCCCTTAAGTTACCTGTGTTGTTAATATGTACATGTGAGATGCTGTTCCACAGGACTGTGTCTTCCCATCCCTGCTCCCCATCCTCTCTTTGGTTGGTTTCCCTGACTTGGCTGGCTGACTCGAGTTACCTGGAGTGCATCCCCCACTTGGATACCACTAGGGGCCACACCTCCATTGTGAAAGCTTGCCCCTCCTATGCATTTCTCGTCTGCCAAAGTTTTGCCCGAAGGGTCTTCCGACATGCTCTGCTGGTTTCCCCGATTCTGTCAACGGTCGCCCGCCGAGGAAGCAGGAAAGGGACTTATTCCTCGTCTTCATTCTAAGTCTGAATTTGTGTTATCAAAGGGTGTGTTTATTAATAACATAGAAAAGTATCTGGGAACATGTTAACAGGAATTAAATACTATTTATATATTTAAAATATACCAAAACACATTCAAAGCAGTAAGGTACAGCAATCCATTTTTAAAAACCCACTCAGGCAGCCAGTTGCTCAGGAAAAACTTGAATGAAGAGCAAGGTCTTTGCTTGCGGAAGGAGAGCCAAGATAGGGTCAGGCTGGCCTCCAGTGGGAGGAAGTTCCAGAGTCTGGGAGCAGCCACAGAGAAGGTCCTGTCCTGTACACATGTGAGGGTGGCAGGACCCAGAGGAAGGCATCCCCTGATGATCTTAATACTTGAGCAGGTTCCTTAATACTTGAGCAAGTGACACCCTTGAGATACCGTATTTTCAGTGTACAAGATGCCCCTATGTATAAGACAGCCCCCGCTTTTCTAACCCAAAATTTATTTCTTTGCAAGAAAGTGGAGAGGGAAGGCAGGGATCAAAACGCTTTGATTCCTGCTTCCCCCCTCCACTTTCTTTGCAAAAAGTGGAGGGGGACAGCAGGGATCAAAGCGCTTTGATCCCTTCCCCCCTCCTTACTACCTTTTATAAAATGACCCTCAATTTTTCCTCTTAATTATTTTAGGAAAAAGTGTCATTTTATACATAGAAAAATACGGTAGCTTGGGCCCAAGCGGTTTAGGGCTCCATAGATTAAGATCAGCTCTTTGAATTCATTCAACTCCATTCTCATCTATATAAACAATGGCTGTGTGTCTTGCTTTCTTTCATTCCTCCATTCTTTCTATTTTAACTGCAAAAAAATCCCCCAACATTTCTACAAGCCTTCACGCACCCCCTGTGAGGACATTGTGGCCCCACGGGGGGGGGGGACCAACCACAGGTTAACAACCGATGATCTGTATTGTTCGACCTGGTTTAATTCTGAACCCTTGGCAATGGGATGGCTTGGGTATCTTCCGAGGGGGGGGGGGGGACCGACCACAGGTTAACAACCGATGATCCGGGTTGTTCGACCTGGTTTAATTCTGAACCCCTGGCAATGGAATGGCTCGGGTATCTTCCAATTTAATAGAAATCCACAGCCCTTTTCGGTGCCGGCGTTTAGAAGCACGCACTGCTGTGACCCACGAATATCTGCCTTCTGGCTTTGCTCTGTGCTGCCTGGATTTTTCTGCTCCAGTAATTTTTCCCCTGAGATAATTAAAGCCCCCTCCAGTCCCTGCCTTGTCCAGACCCTCTCTGTTTTTCACTTATTTTATGAAGCCCGAGACATCTCCCCACTGCTACCACCGAGATTTTTTGCTTTCTCTCTGGGGAACCCAAAGAGTAGGAATTTAAAGCCATATTCTTGAGGGGGTTTTCCCCTCACATAGTAGATGAGAAAAATGAGGTGATGGCAGTAAGAATCTGCCAAAACGCGTGTGTTTCTCATCCATCCATGATGGTGGATGACTTACCACGTCTTCTTTTTTCCTACCAAAAAGAGAGATAAAGAGAGGCACATTGCCGTTCCTAGAACGCCAAGCGGTTCAGTCCTCATTTGAACGCCTGATGTGGTTGCCGTGAATCCAATTTTTATTGGAACCCTCTAGTTCAGGGGTGGGTCATCGCAGCAGATGCCCATTTTCTGGCTCAAGACGTGCCCGGGGCTGTGTTAGAGGTGGCCAGAAATGCCACAGAAAGGCAAGCCAAAGTGGCTAGAAGTCCATAGCCCCTTGTTCTGGGGTGTTAAGGATCGCATGGGAGTGGCTATGACCTTTTATAAAATAAAATTAACTCTCTAAGAGGTGTCTCAGAGCTGAGATTCTTTCTCTCTCTTTCTCTCTCTCTTGCAGGCAAAAGAAGGGGCTGGTTGCAATCCAGGAGTCCCAAAAGTGGCCTTCAGAAGCCACCTTGCCCACTTTGAGGTTGGCAAGTCTTTGGTACCAAGTCCCCAGTCCCAAGTCTTTTGTACCAAGTTCCAAGTCTTTGTTATCAAGTCCCAAGTCTTTCTTACCAAGCCCCAAGTCTTTGGTATCAAGTCCCAAGTCCCAAGTCTTTGGTATCAAGCCTTTGGTATCAAGTCCCAAGTCCCAGGTCTTTGGTATCAAGTCTTTGGTACCAGGTCCCAAGTCTTTGGTATCAAGTCCCAAGTCTTTGGTATCAAGTCCCAAGTCTTTAGTATCAAGTCCCAAGTCTTTGGTATCAAGTCCCAAGTCCCAGGTCTTTGGTATCAAGTCTTTGGTACCAGGTCCCAAGTCTTTGGTATCAAGTCCCAAGTCCCAAGTCTTTGGTATCAAGCCTTTGGTATCAAGTCCCAAGTCCCAGGTCTTTGGTATCAAGTCTTTGGTACCAGGTCCCAAGTCTTTGGTATCAAGTCCCAAGTCTTTGGTATCAAGTCCCAAGTCTTTGGTATCAAGTCCCAAGTCCCAAGTCTTTGGTATCAAGTCTTTGGTATCAAGTCCCTACTAAAAAAACAAGCTTTTTCTCCCTCCAGAAAAAAGGGTGTGTGGGTGATTCTGAGTCACTGGGGGCTGGATTCGAATCCAAGTTGAGTCACAGGTACAAGTTAAGCCCAACTGGGCCATGATTCCTGTGATCTGAGTGTCCCCAGCCCTGTCTTGATCTCACAGAGGCCCCATGTTTTGGTGGGCAGGCCACCCTCCGCCCTCTTTTGAGGCCACCCTCTGGGGCTCCGGTCTTGGCCACGTGTCCTTCCCATATCTGTGGGGATCCCGCTGGAGAACTTCGCATCCCGTCCTGCCTCCGAATAATCCCTGGTCCCATAGCTGGAGAGAAGCCTCAGGTTTATTATTTCCCTTTCAATATTTGCTTTCCAGAAGAGGACCCCGTGGCTGTTTTCCTCGTGAATCACTGGGTGTCAAACATGACTTGGAACCCACCCACACCTCTCTCCTTTTTTGGGGGGGGAGAGATTGTTTTCAATAGGGACTCTGACTTGGGATTCTGACCCAAAGACTTGCCAATAAAGGTAAAGGTTCCCCTTGACATTGAGTCCAGTCATGTCCGACTCTAGGGCATGGTGCTCATCCCCTTTTCCA